GTGCTCTTTTATAAATTCGTGATTTTCTTTACCAAATATGTTCTTTCTAGTGGTACACCTGGGGTTTAAACCACTTATTATTGTTCACCAATAATTTATATGCTTTGAGAGAGTGAGGGATAGCTCAAGTGGTTAGAGCTTTCCTTCCGATTTTAGGAGGTCTTGGGATCGATTCTCACCCCCGCCCTTGTGGCTTTCTAAAAAAAATAAAAATAATAATTTATTTATGTGCTTTGACCATCTTCTTCTCTGTTTACATAATATAAAATGTTAATTGGTAAGATTTTGTTATCACAAATTAGTCCACGGCAATACATTAACTAAAACTACCTAGCTAGGGAGACAACATTTAAATATATATATAGAAATAAAAATGGGAAGAATCTAATCCGTTTTCTTTCAAATCATAAATTTAACTTCACTAACCGATGGTAGATAATTTAACATGTGTCCACCATAATTACTAAGGCATTACCTAGTTTGTGAATCAAATGATAGAAAACCATTATCTTACTAAGTACTTTATTTATGCAACATTATGTGGCTAGGTAATTTCGAATAAGAAGTAAGCCGAGTAGTATATTTAGTGGAAGATTAGTATGCATCATTATCAAATGTAATATAATAATAATTTTATCATCAAATCTGATCTATAAATTAAAACCTCAATTATGTGTGTGTGCATTGAGCAATTTTTCGGACACCTTAAAGACATATAATATTTGTGTTCATTGTGCAATCTCTTCAAAACCCTTAATGACATATTTGTGTGCATCTATTCTTCCAAGATATCCTCTCAAACAAATTCAAAAAGATCTATAGAGATTATTAGTTTTACTTTCATGGACTGAAAACCAATTAAATTCCATCAATAATAAAGTAATACTTTGCACCAAAAAAAAAAAAACTAATAATAAAGTGATACTAGAGAGACCGGAGAGGCCAAAGACCCAAAGATCGATGATTCAAACAAAAGAAGTTACAAAATACAAAAAATGGGTTTATTGGTTCATGCATCCAGCTTTATTTTTTTTTATTTTTATTTTTTTTGGTATAAGACTTCATCTTACTGTTATGCTTAAATTATCGCTACAAGTTCATATGTTTGTAGGTTACTAGATTATAGGTTGCTACAAAATCAATGACCTGGTTACCAAAAGTCAAGCTTAATTAATGGAAGTTAAATGAAGATCTTTCCAAGGAATATTCTTAGAGAATCAAAGTTTGAATGAGTCATGAGACGTGCCGTAAGAGTAGGAACCATGAACTACAACTAATTGTTGGCAAAAGAAAACAAGTCAAACCATAGTCGATAAGAGCATGAAGAATGTGGCATGAATCTCAGAGCTGAATCTGGCAACTAACCCCGATTTATTTTCAAGGGATCAACAAAGGAGACATTGCTAAGCTTCAAAAGGCTTTTCTATTATAATTGAAAAAAATATATATTGTAAATAAAGAGAATACGAGCCCTAGGCATTACATTCCATAGCAATTAGCAACTACATTACAGATTCATTCTTGATCAAACTACAACCTACACTGTACATGTACTTAATTCTCAACACCACCCACAGTTTTTACCCTTATTTTTGGGGTTTTTTGCATCATTATATCGCGTCTCTCTCTCCCTTTTCCCTTTGTTAATCTTGATGTTGCCCTACTGAACCTGGTCTAATCTGGTAATCGGATTTTGGCCTGAACACATGACATTGGAATTTGTAAATTTCTAAATTGTTTAATTCAACTCAAGGTTGAGTTTCAAATTAAATGATAAAAAAAGCTCCCCCGACAAATAATGCTTCGCGACAAGATGCTCGCCCTAGTCCAACCTACACAGCATAAATAAACCATGAATTTAACAAGTAGCTTCTTTTGCTTTAATCATACGAGTTTGCACATATCGCCACAAAACAAGAACAATGGGCCATTTAATATTATCTCAATTTGCACCATTTGCTAAACAAGTTAGTAAAAAGAAGAAAAAGACAGCATAAATCCTATGCTAGTTTTGTTTGCTCTATGAAGTCAGAAGTCCAAAACCAACGAAGAAGGCACACAACCTACGTAATCAGTGGATTATATGTTAATCTCATTAATTAGTGGATGTCATGCATGTATGTCTTTTTGATTTTAAGCTTGATATGCTTGTTCATATTATATTATCATATCCTCTACTGTAATTGTGAAATATTGATTAGAAACAATATGCTTGACTGTATTCATGGCTCTAGGCCGAATTATATAATATGATGTACAAGATAAGTTTGGCAAGAATATTGATAGAATTATCTACTTAACATAAAATTATCCTGCCAACTAAGAGTATCTAAATCAAATCTTCAACATATATCATATATCGTAACACCCCCCCTCAAGTTGGAGGATGGTGGGGATCCATAATGCCCAACTTGGACAATAAGAAATCAAACTGTCGTTTGCCAAGGGCCTTTGTAAAGATGTCCACCAACTGCGAATCTGTAGGAACATATGAGGGAGCAATAGTACCATCTATAATGGCATCTCGAACAAAGTGACAGTCAACCTCAATGTGTTTGGTTCTTTCATGAAAGACCGGATTTTTAGCAATGTGTAGAGCCGACTGACTATCACAAAACAAAGGAATTGCCTTGGGATGATGCACTCCCAAGCTCAATAATAAACCTTTTAACCATTTCAGTTCACAAGTCGCGGCTGACATAGCACGATACTCTGCATCTGATGACGATGTTGCCATTGTAGGCTGTTTCTTTGTCTTCCATGAGATCGGAGATTGGCCTACAAACACTAACCAACCTGTTACAGATCGACGAGTGATTGGACAAGCAGCCCAATCCGAGTCACACCATCCTTGAAGAGTCAAATCGCTGTCTGCCCGAAGCAAAATGCTTTGCCCGGGAGTACCCTTCAAGTATCTAACCACACGCAAAGCTGCATCCCAATGCTCTACTCGGGGACAATGCATAAATTGAGCTAAAATATGCACAGAATAAGCTAGATCTGGTCTTGTCACATCAAGATAAACCAACCGACCAACAAGTCTACGATAAGCCTCCGGATCTATAAGCAACTCTCCCTTCGCATGACCCAATCTGTGATGTTATTCCATTGGAAAGGCACTAGGCTTAGCACCTGTCAAGCCAACTTCAAAAATGATGTCTAGCGTATATTTACGTTGACAAAGAAATAAACCTTTCGCACTCCTAGCAACCTCAATGCCAAGAAAATATTTCTTGGGCCCTAGATCTTTCATTTTAAAACAATCTCCCAAATATGCTTTGAAAGTCAATAACGCAGCGAAATCATTGCCAGAAATAATCAAATCATCAACATAGACTAACACATTAATCTGAACATGCCCCCTAGTGAATGTAAACAAGGAATAATCAGAGTAGGATTGGAGAAACCCGTACCCTTTCAGAGCTGCAGTAAGCTTTGCATACCAGCAACGTGGAGCTTGCTTCAGACCATATAAAGACTTACGTAGTCTGCACACCAATTTTGGATTCGAGTGTTCAAATCCTGGGGGCAATTTCGTGTACACCTCCTCATCCAAATCTTCATGTAAAAAGGCATTATGCACATCCATTTGATGTATTTCCCAATTCTTCGAAGCTGTTATTGCCAAAAATGCTCGTACAATTGTCATCTTTGCTACTGGAGCAAAAGTCTCATTGTGGTCAATACCCGCCTTTTGATGATTGCCAAAGACCACCAAATGCGACTTCAATCTCTCCACTTTTCCATTGGACAAATACTTGGTCTTATAGACCCATTGACTACCGAGAGCACGTTTGCCGGGAGGTAACTCTTCCAAGGTCCAAGTTCCATAATTTTCTAAAGCTTGGATCTCTTCTTGCATTGATTTTCTCCAACCTTCATGCCTCATTGCATCCTTGAATGACCTCGGATCATGACCTGAAATAATTGCTGCAAAAAATGTACGGTAATTGACAGAGAAATTATCACAATTAATATAGTGTGCTATAGGATACGGGTTACCTGACTTGTGCTGTGGAAGCGGTGTAGGCGAAGATGGACTTTTTGCAATTACAGTATGAGTTACATAATCTCGTAAGAGAACCGAAGGAGTTTTCACTCTCAAACCCCTACCCAATTCCTGCTGCCCTGACGAACCAGAAGACTCAAAGGGAGTTGCGGTCTGGTGGCTGGTAGGAGTAGAAGTGCTCGGCTTTGTGACCTGCTGCTACTGACTGGGACGGGCTGCAGTGCAGTGTTGCTGCCGTCACTCATGAGGCTGTAACTGGCCCTGCTGCTGGTGCAGGGGCTGGTCTGTTCCAGCGGGCGCTGGTCGGCCAGCGGGCGCTGGTGGACCAGCGAGCTGATCAGAAGCGTAGCCTTGCTGGTCGGCCAGGGCACTATCGCCCGAGGGATCTACATGCAGCGCTATGTCTTCGACTGTAACCTCCTGACTACCTTGATCATAAAAATCATCATCGACCACTACATCATCATACATTGGGACCACACTCTCTGGCTCAATATTCACCATAGTTGAATCCAAAAATGGAAAGACATTTTCAAAGAACTTTACATCCCATGACACAAATAATTTCGCTCGTCAAGATCATACAAATTCCACCCTTTTTGCCAAAAGGATACCCCAAAAAAATACATTTCCTACTACGACTCTCAAACTTATCACCCTTCGTGTTTTGATTGTGGGAAAAACATAAGCAACCAAAGGTTTTGATGACATTGTAAGAGGGGGGAAAGCCAAATAAAATTTCAAAAGGAGTTTTATTGTGTATCAAAGGGGATGGTGTTCGGTTAATAAGACGAGCCGCTGCCAAAACGCACTCACCCCAAAAATAAATCGGTAAGTGAGCCTGAAACCGTAAAGCACGAGCTACATTTAAAATGTGTTTATGTTTTCGCTTAACCCTACCATTTTGTTGTGGTGTCCCAACACATGATTAAAAAAAAAAATGCCAGTAGCAGAAAAATAATCACGCAAGAAATTAAATTCCGTACCATTATCACTCTGAACAACTTTTATCGTTTGAAAAAAATTGACGATCAACCATAGCAATGAAATTCATAAAAGTATGAAAAACTTCCGTTTTATCATCCAATAAATACACCCACACAACACGAGAAAAATCATCAACAATAGTCAAGAAATATCTAGCCCCACAAGACGAAGGATGCCTATAGGCACCCCACAAATCACAATGAAGTTTTTCAAAAATACGACTAGCTCTATTGTCACTAGACGGAAATTTGTCCCTAAGGTGTTTAGCACGGAAACAAACTTCACAATTTTTATTCAAATTACCCTTAAAATCAACTACAGGAGGAAGTAACTTTACTACATTCTCTGAAGGGTGCCCCATCCGTTTATGCCATAACTCCATAGAAGAATTTGCTCCATTTGCCGTAACATGTTGCATCGAGTCAACTTCTCCAAAGTAGTAAAGTCCATCTTGCCTAATTCCCGTTCCAATCAGCATCCCCGTTTGGTCCTGTATAGCACACAAAGAAGAATTAAATTTTACAGTACAATCAAATCTTCAATTAATTGTGAAATCGAGAGAAAATTGCAACCCAATTGCGAAACATATAAAACATGATTAAGAGTAATTGAGGCCGACAATCGAATCGACCCTTCTTTCTTTGCAAGCACAGTTCCACCATTGGGAAGACCAACGGGACAATGAATAATATCAGTGACATCAAATAACCAAGTCTCATCTCCGGTGACATAATGCGTCGCGCAGGTGTCAATGATCCACCTTGTGGAATTAAACTTACCATTCAAACGGTTGTCAGGAACTTTTGTGTTACCAAAAAATCCCGCAATTGCCTTCCATTGGTCAGGGGTAAAAATCTGATTGGATGAACTCGACTCCGAGGTGTTGCTGCCAGTGGTCGATCCTCCAACATTACTACTGGATGCTGCATTAGCTCGTACAGAACCACGCCCCCTGCCTTGTGTGCTGACTCTGCTACGCCCAGCCCCATCAGACTTGGGCCTATCAAACCATCCTTCAGGGTAGCCATGGATTTCGTAGCAACCACTCACATCATGTCCGCGTTTTTTACAATGCGTACACACCGGCAAACCCCAACAACTTGAAGCATCATGGCCTGAACGCTGACACTTGGAGCATACTTGTCTGTCATTCCCCTTGCCACGCCCACGGCCAGCACCATTATTTGCGTTGAGGGCAAAACCAACTGCCTCCGATGGCTTATCTTCAAGGACAACTTTGGCGAGTCGAACCCGTTCATCTTGGACGGCCAATTGGTATGCTCTATCAATCGATGTCAGAGGATCTTGTGAAAGAATGTTTGCCCGTAACTGAGTATAATACTCGGAGTAAAGCCCCATAAGGAACTCATGAAGTCTAGCCATTTCCTGTCTCCGAGCGTGCAATTCCCCGGCATTGCAATGTGAACAGCAAGAACAAACAATCAGAGGTTCATGACGATAGAGCTCCTCCCACAAGGCATTTAATTGCCCATAATAAGTCGAGACAGACATGGATTTCGTGTGTTCACATCTCGCAATTGAGGACTTCAAATGATGAATTCTCGGACCATTAACCAGAGCAAATCGCTGTTGTAGATGATCCCATAGCTTCTTTAATTCGCGATATTTCGTCAAGGTAGACTTGACCTCCGGATCAATTGTGTTAGTTATCCAAGACACTAACATTGCATTAATGGTATTCCAGTCCGACTGAGTACATGGAGGGGTCGGACCAATGATAGTGCCATCTAAAAATTCGAACTTGCGCCGCGCCTCTAACGCCATACGTATATCGGCGGCCCAATCATCATAGTTATCGCCTTTAAGACGAGTTGGGGTTATAAAATCACCTGGTCGATCTTGCGATCCTAGGTAAAACGGAGAATTTGGTTCTATTTTGGACGGTGGTGGTGTATTACCAACCATGGTTATAATTTACTGAAAAAAAAATCAAGGCTCGGATACCATGTGAAATATTGATTAGAAACAATATGCTTGACTGTATTCATGGCTCTAGGCCGAATTATATAATATGATGTACAAGATAAGTTTGGCAAGAATATTGATAGAATTATCTACTTAACATAAAACTATCCTGCCAACTAAGAGTATCTAAATCAAATCTTCAACATATATCATATATCGTAACAGTAATGATTATGTTGTTTCAAGAGTCAATATAAAAATACTTCCTCCGTTCTTTTTTTATTGCACCATAAGGGGTTTCACGCTTGGCAATGTATTACTTTGGCTATTAATATCTTTAATTATACTTTTGTAAAAATTTTAAAAAATTGATATTTGAAAAGCAGATTTCGAGACGAATCTAACTATATCCTACATTACTATGTTTTTCCTAATGGATAAATCACAAAAGATGGTAAAAGAAAATTAAGTGAATAGTGTAAAAGTCCTTATGGTGCAATAATAGGAAAACGGTGAAAGTATAATATTTCCTCTATTTAATTTTACACAAACTTTTTAAAAATTAGGGTGTACAATAATTATTGTACATCCATTATAAATATCTCTCAAAGTGATCAAAAGTTACCCTTAAAAAGAATAAAAGTTACTCGAATATGTATAAAAGTAACTCAATTCAAATAAAAATGATCTATGCTTTATTAAATGACTAAAATTCAATTATTAGTGATTGAAAGTAATTTTATTACCTTATAAAATTTTTCTTGTTCTATATTAAAAAATATATATATATTATGCTAAAAGTTACCCAAAAAAGGGCAAAAAGTTACCCTAAATTGGCTTAAAGTTACCCTTGTACTGCTCAGTACACTAATATTGGTGTAAATCGGATGTATATAAAAGTTTTTGTTACTTTTAAATGTAACACTTTCATTACACGCTTGTCAATGCGTTTTTTGAATCACTTTATTACCATTATATAAAAGTTTAATCTTAATAAAGTATAAATTGAGATAAATTGAACAAAATCTCACGTGAATTTATTTTTCCTTATATATAAATTTGTCAAAATTAGTCAACACCGAGTATATTAATAGTGTAAAAATCAAGTGTTGTATTTAAAAGAAAAACGGAAGAAGTATACTATTAACTGTGTTTTTTATTATTTGCAATAAAGGATTACTTTTTGTTATATAGGAAACATAAAATATTTATTTGTTATAAATAATAAAAAACGGAGGTAATATAGAGCATAAAAATATAATATAGTATATAAAACAAAGTGTTAATAATAATAAATAGTGTAGAAAAATAATATGAATGCGATGTCCCGCCGCACCAATGTTACAAGACAACTAGCTACATCCAGTTTGTTGATGACATTATAAATTGTTTAATTTGATCAGGTTGTAATTAGATAGATTAACAACACTAGCTAGGTTATCGTCATTGATTTAGATTTGATAGGATTCCTTTTGCTTTTTTTCTACTTGCATTTAACGACACTTATAAAGTTTTATCCTTCATTTTGTTTACACTATTTATCATGTTATTATATAGTTTATTTGTTGATCCTTATGATGTTTTGATGATGATGTCAAGAATTGAGCAAACTTCCTTTTAATAAGGATTTTCTAGTGTTGATGTTTGCAGGTTCAGTAAGCAGTGGCTGGAGTAGGAATTGAGACAAAGGAACTTTATAAGATCCATGAGGACAAGTAAAGACAGAAGAAGAGTTCCAGCAATGGAACTTCCCAAAGTTTCTTAATAGGAACTTCAAAACGGGTTGTAACGACCTCGTTCCGGTGTAATGTTAAGGCAAGCCTCAACAACCAAGGATCAGTGCAAAGAACGAGATATCAACCGAAAAAGATGGACTTCATAACTTATAGTTGTATAAAAGATAAGTTTGTTTTGTAGGTTGATGTAAACTCATTAATGGTTGTTATGCATGGAACTTATTAGAAATCAGATAAGGCTTGGCAAACTAATCAATTTGTGAAAGATAATTATAAGTTTTATGAAAAAGTATTTATTTGATTTTATCTTAAAAATCTGTTTTAACTCGGTTTTATCTTTTTCATAAAATTCTATCTTTTAACTAAAATGAATTTGATAAAATTTGGTTTTCAAATAAAACGAAATTAAAATCTGTTTTGGTTTCAGTATTAAAAAAGATAAGATTAGATTTCTGTTTAAACTTATCTTATTTACGAAAATCTTATTTTGTGAGCTGATGAACCTTTATAAATATAGAAGCAATTCAGCAAAGCAAACTGAGAGTTTGAAGCGTGAAAACCACTTAGTGCTTAAGAGTAAGTTTGCCAAAGGTTAAAGCTTTATCATTTTGATTTCGGGTTTCATGTGAAGCTTTCCATTTATGTGTTAGAGTGTGTCTTTGTGTTGTAATTGGTTTTGGGGTGAGATTGTGAATTCTCTTAAATTCACGCTTGTGTATGAGTTTGAATTCTCTAAAATTCGAGTGGTAGCTGTGAGTGCACAGTGAGTGAAAGGAACCTGAGAAGTATCTTGGGTCCCCTAGGAAGTGTCCTGGATAAAGGGAGAAAAGGGTCCTAGGAGGTGTCTTTGGTCTGGTAAGAGGTGTCCTATCATATAGTCAAGTGTCCGTGGTGGAACTTGCAAAGCAAAGGTCTGTGTAATAGGTTGTACTAGGAGAGTTGCCTATTATAGTGGAATTTGTTTATAAGTCTCAATAGGGCCGAGGTTTTACTTCCAGTTAGGTACTGGATGGTTTCCTCGTAAAAATTGCTATGTGCTTTAAGTTCCTTTACGTTTTAATTGTTTATTTCCGCTTAAGTTCCGCGATTGGAACATACTACTATTCACCCCCCTCTTGTAGTAGTTCATCAGAACTAACAATTGGTATCAGAGCAGGTTCTCACGAATTTACAAGCAACCTTGATGAGCAAAGTTCCTGAAGAGATGAATGCACACGAGAAACTTGAAGAAGGGTATTCTACCCAAAGACCACCAATGTTCAATGGCAAGTTTTATTCATACTAGAAAAATAGAATGGAGATATTCATCAAAGCTGAAAATTATCAAGTATGGAGAGTCATTGAAAGTGGTGACTTCGAGGTAACAAAAAACTAATGCAAACAAAGAGGTAATCCCTAAACCACTTAATGAATTTGATAAAGAAGATTATGAAAAATATGAGTTAAATTCTCAAGCAGTGAAAATCTTGCATTATGGACTAGGACCTCATGAGCACAATAGAATCATGGGTTGTAAGTCTACAAAGCAAATTTGGGATTTATTACAAGTAACACATGAAGGAACAAATGAAGTTAAACGTTCCAAAATTGGTTTGATAATGTCAAAAGATGAAAGATTCGAAATGCTACACAAAGAATCCATTCAGGATATGTTCACTAGATTTACTAACATTGTCAATGAGTTAGAATCTTTAGGCAGGTCCATACCCATTGATGAACAGGTAAGAAAATTTCTTAGAAGTCTTCCTCAAGATTAGAGGTGGAGATCCAAGGTTACTTCCCTACAGGAATCCAAGGATTTCCTCAAGTTCAACCTCGAACAACTCAATAGATCCCTGCTCACTCATGAACTTCATCTTGGAGCTAACTCTGAAAGGTCCAAGAATAAGAGCCTTGCTCTAAAGGTTATGAATCAAGTGACTCTGAAGATGATGACATGGAGACAGCCATGCTGGTAAGAAGATTCAGGAGGATGCTGGGAAAGAGAGGAGAAAAGAACAAAAGAGAGCCAAGTTCCAAGGAAATCAAGTGCTTCGGATGTGGTTCCAAGGACCATCTCATCAGAGATTGTCCTCAACTTAAGGAGGATGAGAAACCAAAGTATAAAGGGAAGGAGCCAAACAAATATTACAAATCATCTTTCTCCGAAGAGGACGTCAGGAAAGCCATGATGGCTGCATGGGGAAACTCTGACTCAGAAGATGAAGGAGAAGGAGAATCCTTGGAAGAAACAGCCAACCTATGCTTAATGGCTAAAATTGATGATGAAGCACGACTGAAGGAACTTGAATCTGAGGTATGGTATGACTATCGACAACTCAAACATTTAAACAAAGAAAATCTTATGGACATCATTCTGGAACTTCAGGATGACTGTAAAGAACTAAACAGGTCGAAGTTTCAAACTGATCAAGCTTTAAAAATCCACAAAGAACATAGTGAATGGGTAGATAATATGAAAACTGATATACAAACTAGATTCTTTGACTTATATGATAAAAATGTCCTTCTAAAAGAACAAGTTGAAAAAATGAAACATGATAATATTTTGTTAAATGTAGAGCTAGCCCAACTGAAACTTGGAATAAATTTTCCTGACTCTGAAGTTCCTATTACCAGTCAACTTCCAAATTTTGAAAAATGGAAATCAGATTTGGAAGAAGTTAAAATAAAAAATCAAACCTTGGAGGAGGAACTTGCTAGAGCCAGGAAAGACAAAGAAGTGATTAATAATGGAATTCCATCTTGGATTGCTAACTCTCAAAACAAAGATAAAGAAGGATTAGGATATAAGAAAAAGTCTAGGAGAAATTAGAAGTATGTGGATCTACCTAGTCAAAAATTATGTTACTATTGTGGTAGTACAAGACATCTTCGAGCTGCATGTCCTAAAAGAAGTAAAGATCCTCTTAAGAATACTGAGCATGCTGAACAGGTCTGGATGAAGAAATCTGACTCTTCTTCCAAAACAGTGGAACCCAAGGAAACCTGGGTTCCAGAAACTAACGCTTAGTTTTCATGCAGGTTCCAGTGAGGGGGAACAACACATGGTACCTCAAAAGTGGTTGTTCCAAGCACATGACTGGAGATAAATCTAAATTTCTCCCACTGGATGCCTACTATGGAGGAACTGTGACCTTTGGTGATAATAAGAAAGGTGAAATTATTGCTATTGGTAAAGTAGGAAGGTCAAGTTCACATGCTATAGAAAATGTATTTTTAGTCGAGGGTCTTAAACACAACTTGTTAAGTATTTCTCAATTT